CCCCCCCCCTACATAACGCCTTGTTGACATTTTGCGGGTAACAAACTACGTGCGCTAAAGCGCATCGCTGCATTCTGCTATCGCTAAACCGCATCTTGTTTCACGCTAACCGCTGTGAACCCGGTATCCGATCAAAGGTTATCATCCATAATCATCACCACACCTTGGCTCAGTCATGCGCTGCCTTGTTGGAGTCGATTTCATCCATCTTCACTTGTCTCGTTGCCCGTGAATTTCCGAATGCGCGAGGATCCAGTGCGCTGTTCGTTAAGCGTAACGCACTGATTGTTGACATGAAGGCATGTTCAAAATTTTATGATTAGCGAGCGATTAACGTAATACTACTGGGTAACGCGATCTTGTGCTACACCGAAATTGAACGAGCGGTTCTTGTGTTTTTCTATTGTTAAAGTTCAGGCTGAATGACCTCACCCTCCTCGAAAAGTTCGGTTTGGTGCATTTACTGCCTGCAACGCTCAGTTGAGTTGCGTAAATTTTGGGGTCAACTGAAAACAACCAGCAATCACGCCGCCCACAAAAGAGAGCGCACTGCTTCGCTGAATCTCCGCACAGGGCCACGAGTGTTGTCAGGTCTATCAAAGGGACCCAGTATTAGAGAGTTGTTGCTGAGCTAAGAAAATCTGTACGAATATCCGGAAAAGTCAAGGGTTGGTAATATTTTGTATTAAATAGCTTAATAATCGTACGCTTTACAGTTATCGAATGTTTCACAGACGTACACAGCGCAAGCTCACGGATAAACCTTTGATAGGATATCCGGATACGCCAGCATGGACTCAACGTATTTATGACAAAAGAGTTTAAAAAAAAATAGCTCCATGTCATTCATCCCCGGAGTATCTACTGTTGTTTGTTGTAAGTACCTCTTAGGCATTGAATAGCTATTTTGCTGTATTAGATAGCTTTCTGAGATTTCTAATTTAAAATTAAAAAACAACATATGCTAATTTTAGCTACTGCATCTGCTCCTTGCGTGCAACAGGAAACTAGTGTTCTATATAAACTCGCGAGAGCGCAGATATAGAATTGAAATAGAGGGTTATTTTATTCTATTCTTCTTTTTTTTCCTTCGTTAGTACTAATGAAAATTAACATTAAACGTTTTATTTGCTATTTGGATTAAAAAGAATTATTTTAAACGTTATTTTTTCCTGATATCTCCATTTGTCATTTCAAGATTTGTTGTAAAAGCCACAGCGGGGATGGTGCTGGCAGGGATGCTCAGTCGCTATGTTTTCCTCGTCTGCTATAACAAGGAGTACCCAGAGAGTGCCACAAGATATCATGATGGGATGCTACGAAATTTCTTGCTTTTCACCCCTCTTCAAATGTTAAATTCAAAACAGTTTTCACAATTTCAAACTGTCAATGAATTTCCTCGGTAGCAACGGACTTTGGTTCCTGTAATCAAGAAATTCGTGCGTCATGTCGTGCGGATACCGTACCTATTTATTAAATAGCATACGTACAATCATCTACTAAGCCCACAGCTTCTTTGTGTGGTAAGGCGGCTTCGGTTTATAGATTCCTTAATGTACAAAACTTGTTGTGATCTGACTTCAGGTCGTCTCAGGATATTTTATTCTTATTTATTTTTATTTTTTTTTACAGATTTCTGACCAACGATGGATT